GCCTGGCCTGCGGAAAAGAAGCAAGGAAGGGGTGATTCAGGAAGGCCAGAGCCCCTGTGCTGGGGCAGGGGCCCCAGCCCCTAGGACAGGACAGGCCCCAGGTTGGAAGGCAGGGGCCCCACCCCCTAGGACTGAACAGACTCCCTGTTGAGGCCCCTGGGTTCTTCCTGGGACGGTCCTTGCCTGGCCTCTTTCATGGATCCTAAGCAGCTTCCTTATTGGCCACCATCTGGGAAGCCAGGAGGGGGGCATGAAATGAGGAGGAGGTGGGGGCCCCAGCCAGGGTGCCCCTCCTCAAGACCCCAGGTATACAGTTGGCCTTTGCCCAGTCCTTCTAGCCCCTGCCAGGGAAGGACTCCACCTGGACCCCACGAATCTCTCCCAACTTTTGCCCAGCATGGCGCCCATGATCAAAACCCCGCTTCAGGGCCCTGGGTCCCCAGGCCGGCCCCCACCCTGAGGGTGCCTCTACACCCCTTTCCCCAGAGCCCCTCCCCCAGCCTGAGGGCCAGGAGCAGCCTCCTCTTCCTGCAGTCTCTACCGCAGCTCTCCCCTGGCCCAGGGGCCTGAACTCGGGTGGAGGAGCTGAGCTGCAGGGTGGCTGTGGGGACCTCAGGGTGGCCATGGGGGCCTTGGGGTGGCCGTGGGGTGGCTGTGGGGGCCTCGGGGTGGCCATGGGGACTGTGGGGTGGCTGTGGAGGCCTCGGGGTGGCTGTGGGGACCTCTGCCTGGCGTTCTTTCCCCGTGGCTGGAGCCCCTGCCTTGTCCGAAAGGGAGCCCGGAGTGTGTGTGCCTGTGTGTGTCCCATCTGCGTCCCCATCATGCCTCATTCTGGGGCAGGGGGGCAGTAAGGGGCCCCGCCCCACTGGATGGAGCGAGCTTCCCACCTTGCCCCGTGTCATTTCCTGATTTGCAAAATATTTCCTGGGAGCACAGTTGTTGGCAAGCACAGCCTCAGACGGTGTGAACAGCTGGGGGGCCCCTCAGATGTGGCTCCCTCTGTCCCTCTGGCCTGTGCTGGCCTGCCCCTGCCCCCAGGCCTGTAAGCTGGGAAGGCTGTGGGGCAGGAACTCCCCAGGGTTAGTGGGCTGGTCTGAGGGCTAAGGCCCCTGCTCCCAGCCCCGCCCAACCTGCCTCTGGGGAGTCCCTCGTGTGTGGACATAGGTCAGTCCCTCCCTGCTGCCTCCTTCCGACCCTGGTCCAGGCCCCTGGGAGTTTTGGGTCTGCCCAGGGCTGTGGTCTGAGCCTGTCCTGACTGTGTCTAGGGAAGGAGCAGTGTGTCGTCCTCCTCTCCCTTTCGGGGAAGGATGTCCCAGGAGAGAGGCAAAGTGAGGGGACCCACACAAGGAAGGGGCCCTGCTATTGGGAAACCCGGGGTCATTCAGGCTGTTACTCTCTGGCTCCCACGGGGCCGGGCTCTGTTCTCGCTGCGGCGAATCTCTTGCCCCCACCGAGGCCAGCAGCAGCCTCCACCCGGCTTCTGAATACTGCACTCAGGAGCCCGGCCACCCCTCCCAAAGGCCCCCAGCCTGCTCTGCCCCTGCTGTCCCGGTGCAGGGCCCTCCTGCCCACCCCACCCTGGTCTCAGTACTCGAGGTTCCTTCTCTCTGCCCGGAAGTCTCTTCCTCGAGTACCCTTGCGTGTGAGTCCCCAGTGACCCCCCGTTCTCACAGGGAAAACAAGTAGACCGTATCTTTCCTAGCTGGTCACGGCCCACCCCTCCTAGCCTGGCAGTGCTGGCCCGGCGCCTGTGTGTCCCCAGCACTGAGGCCGGGGTGCGGCTGTGCCCAGCACACAGACGAGGGATGGATGGACAGATGCAGATGGTGCGGCTCCCGCCCCCTACCCAGGCTGCTACCCGCCACCCCAGCTGCTGCTGGCACAGGGGACTGAGTGGGGTCAGCTCTGGGGCCAGAGGGGCAGTCCTGGGCTCCTGGGAAGTGAAAAGTGACCCCAGGACCTGTCTTTGACTCCAGTGAGCAGGCTGAGTCTAGGAGCTGGGTGGGCCCTGCTCTCTTGGTGACCCCGGCTCTGCCCCACTTACTGTTATGGGGTGGGGTCCCGGGCTCAGGCACACCCCAGAGCAGTGCCTCAGGCCCGCACTGCTGCCCCTCACCGCCCCTTCCATCTGTTCCAATGTGTGCTTGAGTACATTTATGAGATACAGGAAAACAGCAACCAAAGGCGCCGGGTGCGGGCCTGGGCGTTCTGCCCTCGGCTTGGGTCAGGGGTGGGGTCAGAGGTTTCAGGAGTTGCCCTTTTCCCCGGGGTCAAACATGACCACAGCCAGCTGGGGACAAAAGGCCCTTCTTCTTCTGCAGAAGCCTGGATTGTGCGGAGGAGGGAGCATTCCCAAAGGCGGGTGGGGGCAGGGCGGTGCCCGGGCGAGAGCAGCGTCCCCAGCTTCCCGGAACCCCCTCCACCTGCCTGCAGACAGACCGGCAGGGCAGGCCGGCTCCGGGAAGTGAGGCACAAGGACTCCCACAGCCCAGGCCCAGACCGTGGGGGCAGGGTGGCCGCAGCCACACCAGGCTGCTCCCCACCCCGTGGGGCCCAAGGCCACCAGGATCAGACAGGGGCTATGCCTGCAGGAGGCAGAAGGCTTGGGGCCAGGAGCCACTGTGATCTGGCCTGACCCGTCCTTGCCCTGCCTATCTTACCCCGGGCCCTTCTCCCTGGAGAGTGGAGGGTTCCGGCTGTTATATTTGTGCTTCCTCTGGTGTCTGCCCCAAGTCCGGCCCGGGCCCTGACACTGCACCTCTGGCTGACCCCATGCTCTCTGAGACCCTCTGTCCACGTCCTTCCTCTGCGGTGGAGACAGCGGGTGGAGGGCAGGACATAGGAATGAGTCCTGAAGGCTGAGGAGCAGGGGGAGAGCTGATGGGGAGGGTCTCCTAGCAGGAGGGACTCCAGGCAGAGCTGGGAGCAAGGCAGGTGGCTGAGCTCGGCCCAGGCTGGGTGGAGGCCAGGCGTCCTGTGCCTTCTCCCGCTGACGGCGAGCTGAAGGGAGGAAGGCGGCAGCTTCCTTGAGGGCCTGAGTCACAGCCAAGAAGACCCACTCACTTTTTCCAGAAGTGAGGGAAACTTCCCCGTCAGCCCAGCAGTGTGAGGTGTGACTGTGGCCCGCCTGCTGGGCAGGGGTGGGGGACGAGCAGGCCACTGGCTGTGAGCCTCCCCAGGGTGGGGGACCCTCGGCCCAGCTCCCTGCTTGACTACCTGGGCGTGCCCCCGCAGGGTCTGCAGCCAGCTTCCGGTCAGACTTCAGGTCCTCCAGCGGCTGTGGCCTTGAGCGTCATCTCCACAGCAGCCCCTGTGTACTGGGGGCTGGGGGGCCTGGTAAGGCCCCTCGGAGTGGCACAGCTCGCACTCTGGGGACCCAAAGTCCCCCCACCAGGCCCAGGCGGAAGCACAAGGCATTTCTGGTCCCAGCGGAGGCCTGAGGTCTGTGGAGCCCAGCCAGCACCTCCACTGCCAAGATCCCTGGCAGGGGGGGCGGGGGGCGCCGGCGGGGACACAGCTCTCCCTTGTTCCTGCCGCCAGCTCCTCAGACTCAGCCTGCCGCTTCCTTTTTTAGGCAAAGTCGAGCGCTGGCCGCTCGTCTGCACGCCCCGCGGTGTCTCACCTGCCTGAAAGGGAGGAAGGAAGCCCATGGAGCCCCATCCGTTCTCCTGCGGGGCATCCTCCAGGAGAGGGTGGGGAAGGAGGGGACATCCTGGCAGACACACCCCCATCCCCCGCCCCCCAGCTCTGAGCTGAGGAGGCCCAGGGAGAGTGCCATGGCTACTGGAGGGAGGGCTGGGGTGGGGTTCTCCTGTCCAGGGGATACTGCTGGCCCAGCCCCACCTGAGCGAGGGAAATCTGCCCTGGGGGCCTCAGGACACCCCCTGCAGCCAGCCACCTCTAGTCTGGGCCTCACCAAGACCCCAAGACCCAAGAGCTCCTGGCTCACCAGTGGGCCCCTCCAGTCCTGCCGGGGGTGTTTCTTGGGTCCTGGAGTCTGGGCCCCTCATTGAGTAGGGTATATGGGTAACAGGCCCAGTGTGGTACCACTGGACAGGGCCTGAACCAACCATCTCCCACTCCCATGCCTCTTCCTCCAAGAAGCCCAGGTGGGGTGGGAGCTTCGAGTCTCTCTCAAATTCCTGTCTTCTGTCCCCTTTCAAGGCACTGTGTCCTTCTAAGTTCCACCCCATGGCCCTTCCAATCTCCGCTGGTCAGTCCCTAGGACACGTATCCTATTCCTCCAGACACCCACCGGCCTCCAGCTGTGTGGCCAAGGTGAAACCAGGCTCTGGACGTTTTCTGGTGCCACCGCCAGCCCCCGGGGTTCTCTTGGGTCTGGCTGCAGGGACCCCAGCACCCACAGTCACGGCAGTGGTGGGCATGGGGAGGGCCTAGCCTGGTACCTCCCTGCTCCGCTCCTGCGGCTGGGGGTCAGAGAGGGGTGGAGAGCGCCGGCCGCACAGCCTCGGCCGGGAGAGGGAGACTGGAGTGTGTGTGTGCGTGCCCACGCGTGCATGCCTCCGTCGTATCTCGGCTGGTGCTGCGTGTCCCTGGGTGTCGGGGTCCGCTGGTGCGCCTCTCCGGGGTTTGTGCACGTGGCCTTCCGCTCGCGCAAGAGGGCGTGGGCGTGGCCTCGGCGTGGGTGTGGCCGTTCGGGGCGGGGCCTCCAGGGGGCGGGGCCGGCCTGGTCCGCGCGGTGACGCGCCCTGCAGCCGCGAGCGAACGAGCGAGAGAGCCAGCGAACTGCCGAGCCCAGTCCGTCGCGCGCGATGCTCCCCTGGACGGCGCTCGGCCTGGCCCTGAGCTTGCGGCTGGCGCTGGCGCGGAGCGGCGCGGAGAGCGGTGAGTGCGGCAGACGGCCGGGCCGGGGTTGGGGCCCCTGGTGCCCGCTCTGCGCCGCTGCCCGCGCAGGGCCGTCGCTGTCCCCAGCTCCGAGCTGGCGGGCGGGCTGGGAGGCTGCGGGAGCCGGGCGTGGGCGCGGGCGTGGGCGTGGGCGGAGCGTCCTGCTCACTTGAGGCGGGCGGCCCAGGTGCTCCAGGCGACACCGTCCGTGAGCGCCGGGGCGTAGGGGCCGGCCCGGCCCGGCCTGCATTTCTGCGGGATCGCGGGCCTGGACAGGAAGAGGGAGATGTCTGTCGAGGGGGCACCTCGCCTCAGTTTCCCTACCCTTGCAAAGGCGCTCAGTGGAGGGATGGTAGGGAAATTGGAGTCGCCCCACCGCACTGGGGAAAACCGCAAGGCCGGGACTAGAATTGAGGCACGCTGGTCCCTGGCTTGGTGCGGAGGGGTGGTGTGTGGGGCATCAGCCTCCACCCCGGGGGTGCCGGGAGGAAGGGGGAAGCCTGCGAGGGGTTGATCTGGCTTTCAGGCTGCTTGGGGGTGTGTGTCTTGTGTGGGTCCAGGTGGGCTGGTGGATGGAGGCCAGGGGAGGGGACACCATCTGGTAAGTGGGATCTGGGCTCCAGCCAGGCCATCCGGCGGGGTCATTGCTCTGCCTCCTACACCTTCCCCTGCTGCTGTGTGCCTGCCCACGGTGCCTCACCTGGAGGCTGAGCTGCATGGCTGAACTCCAGCCTCGGGCTGCTCCTCTGAAAGCCATGCCTGGAGGGAGCAGCACCATGGCTCAGGCCTGTCCTGGGGACCTAGGCCAGGATTCGACTCCACCAGCTCGCAGGGTCGGTGAGGAATGGGAAGGTGTGGGGGCTTGGAGCGGGGAGTCGTCCTCTCACAGATGGGATAACACCAGCCCAGAGAGAGCTGTAGGTCCCATGGCCAGTGTGCAGAGTGAAAGCCCCAAAAGTACAGGCCTCTTGCTTGTCTTAGAGTTCCTCTTTCCCCCAACCTAGGACCTTCGGAGTAGGGCAAGCACCCACTTAAGGAAAGCTGAGGCCCTGGGGGACCCTGCCTTGCTGTGGGGCTGTCTGGGGGGCCCACACCTGAGGCTGAGCATTCCTCCTTTCCCCCAGGTCCACCAGCATCAGCCCCCCGAGGGGACCTGATGTTCCTGCTGGACAGCTCGGCCAGCGTGTCTCACTACGAGTTCTCCCGGGTTCGGGAGTTTGTGGGGCAGCTGGTGGCTCCACTGCCCCTGGGCACCGGGGCCCTGCGTGCCAGCCTGGTGCACGTGGGCACTCGGCCGTACACTGAGTTCCCCTTCGGCCAACACAGCTCAGGCGAGGCTGCCCAGGATGCTGTTCGCGCTTCAGTACAGCGCATGGGTGACACTCACACTGGCCTGGCGCTGGCATATGCCAAGGAACAGCTCTTTGCTGAAGCAGCAGGTGCCCGGCCAGGGGTGCCCAAGGTGCTGGTGTGGGTGACAGATGGCGGTTCCAGCGACCCCGTGGGACCCCCCATGCAGGAGCTAAAGGACCTGGGCGTCACCGTGTTCATCGTCAGCACCGGCCGAGGCAACTTTCTGGAGCTGTCAGCTGCTGCCTCAGCCCCTGCCGAGAAGCACCTGCACTTTGTGGACGTGGATGACCTGCACATCATTGTCCAAGAGCTGAGGGGCTCCATCCTCGGTAGGTGGGAGGAGGCAGGGCCCAGGGATCCCTAGCTGGGAGCTGCAGGAGGAGAGGCTGGGTTGAGACTTTGGGAATATCTCATGTCCCCAGAGCAGCGGCCAGGGCCTCCGGGGCTGTGGTACCCCTAGGGTGCAGGGCTGAGTGATGCAGCTTCTCTGTGCACGCTTTCCACTAGGTGACCCATGCGCCCTGCTGAGATGGGGGCTTGAGTAGCCACCTCCAAGTGTAGCTCCCTGCTGACGGGTCCAGCCCAGACCTCGAGGCCCCATGGAGTGCAGAGCCCAGGTGTAGGCCCAGGAAGAAGCTCGCGAGTCTGGGGACTCTGCAGATGGGCAGCATGTGCTCCTGGGCATGCCCACCATACCTGGAGAGGGGAGAGCCAGAAAGGTCAGGGACTGCCCCCCAGGAAGCACAGGGTACCTCTCCTGGGTCGGGACAGCCACCGAGGGCTTTGAACAGGTTCGGACTGCAGGCCTACCATGAGGATTTCCTGAGAGGCCAGGCCAGGGAAGGCCTGAGGCAGGAGCTGAGCAGCTCCCATTGGCTTTTTTCTGGACATCTCTGCCCCAGCCAAGCCCTGAAGGAGTTGAGGCTGGAGATGAGGAAACTGGCCACTGGCTCAGCCTGCTGTAGCCACTGAAAAATACCACTAACCCCAGGGATCTCACCAAGTCTCGTCTGTGGGTTAATCATCATCCACCCAGAGCCGGAAGGGGTTGGACTGTGGGTTGGAGAGGGGTGGACGGCCCGCCCCAAGGTTTGGCCAGGGACGTCTGACCCCTAGTGGCCCCAGGGTCACCCAGTGCAGCTGTGCCTGGAGGGGACCAGGAGGAAAGACTGCCTTAAGTAGCTGGAAAGGAAAAGCCTGAGGCTGCGGTGCAGAGGGGCCAGGCAGCAGGGTGGGGGCTCCTGGGAAAGAGGCTGGGTCTGAGGGTGGGGGTGGGAAGAAAGTGGCACAAGCACCCACCACTACAGGAGGAAGATCCTGATAGCTTTAACCCAGCGCAGACATTTATGAGCCTCGCCACAGCAGGTCACTCAGAGGGCTATGTGGGGCTTGGTGTCAAGGGCCCAGTAGTCCCCCTCTGGAGTACCCCACCCCACACTCTCCTGGGGACCCGGGGCAGGCAGCGCCTCCAGAACCCCAGGGCCTGTCCCTGTGATCTCCCATCTCCTGGCTGCAGCTCAGAGAGCCGGGCTGACCTCAGACCCGGGCCTGGCCACTCAGGCTGGGGCTGGTCCTCTGCTCTCAGGTACCACCGTGGACCCTGCTGTCTTTGAGGACCTTTGTCCTGGTCACTGATCTGGCCACTGCACCTCTCCACAAAGGACTGGGTTTGGGCTGAGGGAGGCAGGGGCGCTTCTGACAGGGCGTGAGGGGGCTGCACCCCCTTCCTCAGTCCTCCCCCAGCCAAGGCACGTTCTAAGAATCCCCAGCATCTGCGGGGCATGGCTCCAGCAGCTCCTTGGCCGCGGGGCCCCGTCTTTCCTAGTGGGGCCTCCAATCTCCAGATCTTCCCCATCAGCCAGGGCCGCTCTCCAGGAGCAGAGGAGGAACTGACCGCTGCTCCCCGACCCCCTGCACCACCCACAGACGCGATGCGGCCGCAGCAGCTCCGTGCCACGGAGATCACGTCCAGCGGCTTCCGCCTGGCCTGGCCGCCCCTGCTGACCGCAGACTCAGGCTACTACGTGCTGGAGCTGGTGCCCAGTGCCCAGCCTGGGGCTGCGAGACGCCAGCAGCTGCCGGGGAACGCCACGGACTGGACCTGGGCCGGCCTCGACCCAGACACGGACTACGACGTGGCGCTGGTGCCTGAGTCCAACGTGCGCCTCCTGAGGCCCCAGCAACTGCGGGTGCGCACGCGGCCGGGTGAGGCAGGGCCGGGGGCTGGACCGGCCCCCACCCAGCTCGCCGCCCTCCCCGCCCTGGAGGAGGCCGGGCCGGAGCGCATCGTCATCTCCCACGCCCGACCGCGCAGCCTCCGCGTGAGCTGGGCCCCAGCGCTAGGCGCAGCCGCCGCGCTCGGCTACCACGTGCAGTTCGGGCCGCTGGGGGGCGGGGCGGCGCAGCGCGTGGAGGTGCCCGCGGGCCGCAACTGCACCACGCTGCAGGGCCTGGCGCCAGGCACCGCCTACCTGGTGACCGTGACCGCCGCCTTCCGCTCGGGCCGCGAGAGCGCGCTATCCGCCAAGGCCTGCACGGCCGACGGCCCGCGCCCGCGACCACGCCCCGTGCCCCGTGCTTCGACCCCGGGGACCGCGAGCCGCGAGCCGTGAGCCGTAAGCCGGCATCCCCGCCCTGCCGAGAAGCCCGGCGCCGACCCGAGGGCCCCTGTGTCCCGAACCCGGTGCGGAGGCGCCCAGCTCGGGAGAAGGGTGCAGGCCCGGCCTTTCCCCACGCGGACTCCGCACGACCCCGGCCCACTCCCTGTGGCCACAGGGCTTCCCCGCCTGGCACCTGCCCTCCAGGGCTGGGGCCTCGCCTGGTGGGACCGCGCAGCAGCTCCGGCCCCATCCCCGCCCCGAGTCAGGCGTGGTATCGGCTCGTGGGTGGTGTTGAGAGCATCAGACCCAGGACTGTCCAGGGAGGAGCCCCGGTCAGACTCCCACGTGTGAAGACTCGGCCCCAGGTGGCAAGGGCTGGCCTGAGGTGGGCAGCTTGGGCCCTGGACGCTGATAGGAAGTGGAAGGGGAATCGCGGGAGAAGCTGGCCCAGGTCAGGTCCCCAAAGGCTTCTGAAGAAAAGGAAGGGCAGGTAGGCGCACCCGGACGCTGGTGGTGTGGCGGGGATGCTCAGCCAGCCGGGAGGGCAGCGCCTGCTGAGGACGGTGGCCCTGCCTTCATGCCCAGGACACCAGCTGGGTCCAGCTAGCAGCCACTGGGAATCAGAGGAATGGGGCAGAGCCGGGCATTCAGGACCTTGAGGACAGGTGACCCCACCCACCCACCTCCACGGTCAGGCCCCGGGACCGCACTGACAGGAAGCCTTGTGTGGGAGTACTTCCCAGGGGCTGCAGGGACAATGCTCTCCAGGGAGGCCCCAGCGACCACACCATCTTTTGGCTGTGAGAGGTCTCACCCCTGGGCCACATGCTGTCACTACTCACTACCCTGGGGCCCGCGGGCGAGTTGCCTAGGGTGGGGGTGCCTAGCCAGGCACACTCCCTGCCCGGCCTAGTCCTTGGCTCCCAGGACTGTGGTGTCACGCAATGCTCACCTCCCCTCTTCCCCACTAACGTCCCAGACTTTAAAATTCAGTAAATCAGATGTACACCGAACCTGCAGTCTCGTTAGGATGCTTTTCTCCTCCACAAACAGCAGCCACGGACAGGACAGCTTGTGAAGTTCTCCTCCGCCCTTTGGGGTGTCCGGGGAGAGGAGGTGGAGCTGTCCCCTCCCAGTGCCAGGCCTCGTTGGTCCCCCTATGCACCTTTTATTCAGAGAGGCTGGGCCCCCTTCCCGTGGGGCTGGGCCCAGGGCAGATGGCTGGAATGCAGAGGAAAAGGGGGCTGGGGCCTCTGCAGGGCCATTCCCACCACAGCCTCTGCCATGACCCATAGCCTTGGGCCCAGCCGCATGCGGGCTCCCTCTGCTGGCAAAGCCGCACCCTGCACTGCGTGGGGTCCACTGCCCCTTTCCCTAGGTGGACTCACGTGACCCCAGGAACTGCAGCATTGAGGTGGTCTCAGTCCCTCCCTCAGACATGGTGGGCGTTGTGCCAGGGGCCTCTTTTGGGACAGCTGGCCTTGGCACTGTCTCCCGAGAACCCAGCTCTGTGCATCCCATGGCCCCACCAGATACCCAAGTCTGCACCACCCACCAGCTGGGTGTGGTGACCATTCGTGGGGGGCTGGCTGGGGTCAGGCTCACCACGCAGAGTTTGCCCTCCGGTGTGATTATAAGTGAGACACAGGAGGCCCCCCTGCCTGTGTGTGCAGGAGGTGTCTGTTGGCGGGGGGGCCCAGCTGGCTGGACTTTGGGTTTCTCCTGAGCTCCCCTCAGCCCCCAAGTCAGGCCACGGAGGCCTGAGCAGGACCCAGGGGCTGTGCGTGTCACTGCAGATGGCGTGCTCACAACTGCACTGCTGGTCAGCAGGTGGCCAGGGTCTCAGGCTCGGGTGTCTGGTCCCACCTCCTGTCGAGGGGTAGACTTTCCTTCATGCAGCCCCTGCCCCCTACCCCATTCTCCAGGGTGATGGCAGATCTGAGCCCACGGTCACCTGAGAGGAGATGTCCCTTGCACACTGAGCCCAGGCCCATCTCACGGAGTGCCTTGTGGGTGGCAGCGGGGCACCAGGGGCTCATTCCTCATGGCCTCGGTGGCTTCTGTGGACGACTCAGACTCACATGAGAAGCTGGGAGGGGCTCCAGCTCTGCAGTCCTGAGAGGGCAGATCGGTGGCCCTGGCCACAACCCTGCTCCCCACATACCCGTCTGGCAGAGGCTCTACCTCCATTCTGCTCATCTCTGCGCACCAAGGCCGAGCACAGCACAAGGCCTCCCAGAGAGGGTGAAAGGCACTGCCGCCTCCATCTCCGTGTCAAGGAATGCCCCTTCCAGAGGCCCTCCTCTGGGAAGTGCTGCCCCTTATGTAGCCCCAGGCATTTTGAAGTTTTTGAATCTGTACCAAGTCTGCAAACAACTCTGGCCCCGGAGTGCTCCATCCAGGCCTCTGTGAACCTGCTGTCCCGTGGCTCCTCCAGCTCCCCTGACACAATCCTGGCCCCGACTCAGTCCACTCAGAGTGCAGTGTAGAGGCTGACACCTGCCAGGACTTCCTTGCCAAGGGCCTGACCACGTCACGAGGCCACTGCACGCTTTTCGACATGCACCTGGAAATCAGGAAGGGCCATCCTGCGGTTGTTTCTAGTTGAGACAAGAAGAGCGATAAGGTTGTGATCCACGTGGCAGGTGTTCAGAAGGCCAGGGGCGGGCAGGGCTGGGGAGAGCCCTGGGCACTTTGAGGAGATCCCGGAGGGAGGCTGCTCCCACATCTGAAGAGAACCAACCTGAGGGTTTCACGCTGGCCGCGTGCCAGACCAGTCCCTGATAGGCTGTGCAAGGTCCTTCGCTGGACAGCCCATTGCTGGCCACTGAAAGGAGAGGCAGAGAGGGCTGAAATTCGGGTCCATGCCTCCATGAGCGAGGACAGAGCAGTAGCTCTCCAGCATGTGCAACTCTGCAGACACGCTGGGCGTGGTGGCTAACGCCTGTAATCTCAGCGCTTTGGGAGGCCAAGGCGGGTGGATCACGAGGTCATGAGTTCAAGACCAGCCTGGCCAACATGGTGAAACCCCGTCTCTACTAAAAATACAAAAAAATTAGCCGGGTGTGGTGGCACGCGCCTGTAATCCCAGCTATTCCATAGGCTGAAGCAGAGAATTGCTTAAACCTGGAGGGGCGGAGGTTGCAGTGAGCCGAGTTCCCACCACCGCACTCCAACCTGGGCAACACAGCAAGACTCCAACTCAAAAAAAGAAAAAAAAAAAAAAAGAAACTCTCCAGAGAGACCTGTTCGTGAGAAGCCAGACAGAGGCCTGGGGTGTCAGTCCAGATTTCTAGGAAGTGGGGTGGCCACGCGTGGGGCATGCTGCTGGGAACCACCTAGGGAAGCCGGTTGCCGCCCTGTTTCTATGGTGACAGTAATAAACCAAGTCAAATCCCCGAGGCACAGCCCACATGACAGCCTCCCGCCAGAGGGGACAGTTTAGGACGATCAGCTCCAGGGCAGTAGCTGTGTGTTTCCTGCCTTTTTTTTTGAGACAGAGTCTTGTTCTGTCACCCAGGCAGGAGTGTGGTGGTGCGATCTCAGCTCACTGCAACCTCTGCCTACCAGGTTCAACTGATTCTCCTGCCTCAGCCTCCTGAGTAGCTGTGATTACAGGTGCCACCACGCTCGGCTAAATTTTGTATTTTTAGTAGAGATGGGGTTTCTCCATGTTGGTCAGGCTGGTCTTGAATTCCTGACCTCAGGTGATCCAACCGCCTCGGCCTCCCAAAGTGCTGGGATCACAGGTGTGAGCCACCACTCCTGGCAAAAATTTTTTAAGGAATGGGGGTCTTCCTATGTTACCCGGGCTGTTCTCAAACTCCTGACCACAAAGGATTCTCTTGCCTTGGCCTCCCACAATGCTGGGAATGCAGACCAGAGCCACCCTGCCGGCCTGGCACTGCCGCTTCCGTTTGCCTCTCATGAATCAGTGCACTTTGAGGAGTGTTGGCAGGGGCTGACCGGTTTCAGGGAGCCCTATGGAGAACCGTGAGCCCTGTGGCTGGAGGTGGTGTCTGTTTAGCTAATAAAGTCCCACAGTTACCTCACTGCCGTGTCTATTTGCTGATGCTGTGCGGGGTTTCAGGGGCCTCCTAGCTTCCTCCTGGGGTCAAAGGTGACAGAAGAGGCAGAGGCTGGAGCTTTCTGGAGAATTTACTGACCACAGCGTGGTGCACTTGACATCAGGCGCCCGCCATGGCCGGGCCTGGGTCTGAATGCTGCCCGGGACCAGCTGCCTGTGCTCCAGCAGCCCCTCCCTCCTGAAGGCCAGGTCCCCCGAGAAGAACGAGGCTGCAGAGTGATGTGGGGGCCAGCGGTGACTTCCTACCACACTGTTCTCAGGTGTAAGAGGGCTCGCTTCTGCCCAGGCATTGTCCGTGGAAGACACACAGCCGGCCACTGCAGCCTCAGTCCTGGGATGCCCTGGGGCTGGGTCACAGGGGGCCACGGGCCACGCTGGGAGGCCACAGTCCTGTCGTGCCATGCAGCTCCCTGTCCCCAGATGTCCGCTCAGGGATGCAGAGGGCAGAAACCACACTCGCTGCCTGAATTCTGGGAGCAGAGCCCGGTACCCACTGCCTGGCCGGGGCCTACCCTGGGACTCCAGCCCCTGTTCCCGCTGGCCCGGGCTTCCGGAGGCAACTGTGTCCCTATCCTGGCTCAAGGTCCAGGCTGCACCTGGAACCTGCACGGTCACTCCTCCAGGTCCTCAATGCTGGAGGACTCTCTCAGACAGGAAACCTTTGCGTTGGGCGCAGGGCGGGGTGCGGGGTGGTCACGGGGAATCGCAGGGCAAAACAGCACAGTGCAATCGCGCAGAGCCTGATATTGGCGGATGAAACATAAACTGCTTTCTGCACTTTGTGTCCTTAGGAAGGGTGTGGGGTGTTGGCGGAAGTAGGAAACAGAAGAGGAGCCTGGGCATGCAGCGGGTCTGTCAGAGAGCAGAGCCCTCGGAGCTGCAGTGCTTGGAGGGAGGCGGTTCACCTCTGCCCACTCTCTCCATTTCTCTCTCTCTCATTTTCCTTTTAGAGATGGATTCTTGCTCTGAGCCTAGGCTGGAGTGCAGTGGTGTGATTATAGCTCATTGCAGCCTCGCCCTTCCAGGCTCAAGTGATCCTCCTGCCTCAGCCTGTCCAGTAGCCATACCCTACTAGGTCCTAGTTAGCCCCAGAGGCGTGCACCACCACGCCCACTAATTGCAAAAATTTGTTGGCTGGGCGCGATGGCTAACATCTGTAATCTTTGGGAGGCCAAGGCGGGCGGATCACGAGGTCAAGAGATGGAGACCATCCTGGCTAACACGGTGAAACCCGGTCTCTACTAAAAATACAAAAAATTAGCCGGGTGTGGTGGCGGGGGCCTGTAGTCCCAGCTACTCAGGAGGCTGAGGCAGGAGAATGGCGGGAACCCGGGAAGTGGAGCTTGCAGTGATCTGAGATCACTCCACTGCACTCCAGTCTGGGGGACAGAGCGAGACTCCGTCTCAAAATAAATAAATAAATAAATATATAATAAATAAATAAAAATAAAAATAAAACTAAGCCCTTCCTGATGGTCATTGGGGGGTTTGGGGGTTGGGGGGGGTGTCTGGCTATGGCTGGGGAACTCATTTGGTTTTCCTCCTCCTCCTCTTTTTATTTTTTGATAGAGACGGGGTCTCTTGATTTCCCAGGCTGATCTCCAACTCCTGGGCTCAAGCAATCCTCCTGCCTCAGCCTCCCAAAGTGTTTCTGTTACAGGCCTGAGACACCGTAGCTAGCCAGCTTTCTTTTTTTTTTTGAGACGGAGTCCTGCTGTCACCCAGGCTGGAGTGCAGTGGCGAGATCTCAGCGGATCACTGTGTTATACGTAAATTTTCGGTGTCGCAAAAGAAGTAGCACTCGAATGTACACTTTTCTCAGCTAGGAAATTTACTTCTATAGAAGGGGGCGTCTCATAGATGGAGCAATGGCGAGCGCTTGGACAAGGGAGGGGAAGGTTCTTATTCCTGACGCAGGTAGCGCCTACTGCTGTGTGGTTCCCTTATTGGACAGCGTTAGACCTCACAATCTAAATCCGATTGGCCTTTTTTTTTTTTTGAGATGGAGTCTTGCTGTGTCGCCCAGACTGGAGTACAGTGGTGCGATCTTGGCTCACTGCAAGCTCTGCCTCCTGGGTTCATGCCATTCTTCTGCCTTAGCCTCCTGAGTAGTTGAGACTACAAGTGTATGCCATCATGTGCGGCTAATTTTTGTGTTTTTGGTAGAAAGAGATTTCACCACGTTGGCCAGGATGGTCTCGATCTCCTGACCTCGAGATCCACCTGCCTCGGCCTCCCACAGTGCTGGGATTATAGGCATGAGCCACTGCACCTGGCCTTAAGTGGTTCTTTAAAGTCTGATTCGTTGTTTCTACTTTCCCTGATGAGGGTGGGTGTCAAGGAGTGTGGTATTCTTACATAATGTCTGATGTTTGGAATAGCATTTTTTTTTTTTTTGAGGCAGAGTCTCACTCTGTCGCCCATGCTGGAGTGTAGTGGCACCATCTTGTCTCACTGTAACCTTTGCCTCCCGGGTTCAAACGATCCTCCTGCCTCAGCCTTCCACGTAGCTAGGATTACAGGCGTCCACCACCACGGCCGGCTAGCTTTTATATTTTTAGTAGAGACGGGGTTTCACCATGTTGGCCAGGCTGTACTTGAACTTCTGACCTCAGGTGATCTGCCCCCCTCAGCCTCCCGAAGTGCTGGGATTACAGGTGTGAGCCACCACTCCTCGCCTCAAGTATAGGTTTTAAATTTACTTGGGCTTTTTCTTTCTTTCTTTCTTTCTTTTTTTTTTTTTTTTTTTTTTTTTGAGATGGAGTCTTGTTCTGTCGCCCAGGCTGGAGGGCAGTGGCATAATCTCGGCTCACTGCAACCTCCGCCTTCCAGGTTCATGCCATTCTCCTGCTTCAGCCTCCTTAGTAGCTGGGACTACAGGCACCTGCCACCGTGCCTGGCTAATTTTTTGTATTTTTTTTTTTTTTTTTTTTTTTTTTTTTTTTTTTTTTTTTTTTTTTTTTGAGACAGAGTCTGGCTCTGCCGCCCAGGCTGGAGTGCAGTGGCCGGATCTCAGCTCACTGCAAGCTCCGCCTCCCGGGTTCACGCCATTCTCCTGCCTCAGCCTCCCGAGTAGTTGGGACTACAGGCGCCCGCCACCGCGCCCGGCTAGTTTTTTGTATTTTTTAGCAGAGAAGGGGTTTCACCGTGTTAGCCAGGATGGTCTCGATCTCCTGACCTCGTGATCCGCCCGTCTCGGCCTCCCAAAGTGCTGGGATTACAGGCTTGAGCCACCGCGCCCGGCCAATTTTTTGTATTTTTAGTAGAGACAGGGTTTCACCGTGTTAGCCAGGATGGTCTCGATTTCCTGACCCCGTGATCCGCCCTCCTCGGCCTCCCAAAGTGCTGGGATTCCAGGCCTGAGCTGCCAAGCCGGGCCTACTCTTGGCTTTTAAAAGAATGGGGCAGATTGCTTTTCCTTTACTACTTCTATCCTTTTCTCTCTCTCTGACTCTATCTCTCTCTCACTTTCTCTTTTCTCCCTGTCAGTGTTTCTCTTTCCTAAGATGTTTTTTTTCCTGTCTCATGATCTCTTTTATAGGCTTATTTTTCTAGTTCTCTTTCCTTTGTAATTTGTGGTTAATACCTGGCCAATTGTTAGTGACAAATTCCTTGCCCAAGAGGATCCTTGACACCTAAACCAGCATATTCTGTCATTCTTTTAATCTGTACTTTTATTTTTCTTTGAGATGGAGTCTCGCTCTGTCGCCCAGGTTGGAGTGCAGTGGCACGTTCTCGGCTCACTGCAAACTCCGCCTCCCAGGTCACGTCACCATCCTCCTGCCTTAGCCTCCCGAGTAGCGGGGATTACAAGCGTCCACCACCACGCCCGGCTGATTTTTTGTATTTTCAGTAGAGATGGGGTTTCATCGTGTTAGCCAGGATGGTCTCCATCTCCTGACCTCATCATCCGCCCGCCTTGGCCTCCCAAAGTGCTGCGATTATGGGTGTGAGCCACCACGCCTGGCCAAACATGTTTATGGTAAAATTTTGTGATGGGAAAACTGTCATCCCAGAAAATTTTGAGACCTGATGCTTAGGCCTCAGCAGCTCGGAGAATACGTAATTCTGTCCCAGAACACCCAAACGTCGGCCTGTGAGTTCCCCACTAGGAACAAAATGTAACTGGGGACGTTGTCGTACGCTTGCCCTCGTCACCCTGGGCGTGTTGGCTGGTATCCGATTCTTATGGATTCCCGTTCTTGCCTGCACATGCCCGATAGCAGATCAATGACAATAGCCATTGGAAGCTTAGGAAAAGCGTTTGTAACGTGAAAAAATAGAGGACCCTTTAGCCATCGCCTGACTTTACGTCGAATTGGGAAATAGTCTCCTCCCGTCCATGTGGGATGGCCTTCCCGATGTGGCCCTCCAAGACCGTCCCTGGGGGGTAAAACCCCACAAATGCACCAGCCTCTGTGCTGGGGATGGGGCCTCGTCACGCCAGGTCTGACTGGGAAGGAGGATGGTGAGGCAGTGTGGGGAAAAGAAAGATCAGACTGTCACTGTGTCTATATAGAAAGAAGTAGACATAAGAGACTCCATTTTGTTCTGCATTTGAGATGCTGTAAATCTGTGACCCTACCCCCAACCTTGTCCTTGCAAGAGACATGTGCTGTGGTGACTCAAGGTTTAAAGGATTTTGGGCTGTGCAGGGTGTGCTTTGTTAAACAAGTGCCTCAAGGCAGTATGCTTGTGAAAAGTCATCACCAGGCCGGGAGAAGTGGCTCAAGCCTGAAATCCCAGCACTTTGGGAGGCTGAGACGGGTGGATCATGAGGTCAGGAGATGGAGACCATCCTGGCTAGTGCGGTGAAACCCCGTCTCTACTAAAAAATACAAAAAACTAGCCGGACGAGGTGGCAGGCGCCTGTAGTGCCAGCTACTCGGGAGGCTGAGGCAGGAGAATAGCATGAACCCGGGAGGCGGAGCTTGCAGTGAGCTGAGATCCGGCCACTGCACTCCAGCCTGGGCGGCAGAGCGAGACTCCGTCTCAAAAAAAAAAAAAAAAAGTCATCACCATTCTTTTAATCTCAAACCCAGGGACACGTACACTGCCAAAGGTCGCAGGACCTCTGCCTAGGAAAGCTAGGTATTGTCCAAGCTTTCTCCCCGTGTGATAGTCTGAAATATGGCCTCGTGGGAAGGGAAAGACCTGATCCTCCCCCAGCCTGACACCCATGAAGGGTCTGTGCTGAGGAGGATTAGTATAAGAGGAAAGAAGGCCTCTTGGCAGTTGAGATAGAGAAAAGCATCTGTCTGCTGCCTGTCCCTGGGCAATGGAACATCTCAGTGTAAAACAGAGATGTTCTGTTTACTGAGAAAGGAGAAAACCGCCTTAGGGCGAAAGGTGGGACGTGCTAGCGCAATGCTGCTCTTTATGCACTGAAAAGATTTCTAGAGATGTTTGCATATGCATATCAAGGCATTTTTCCTTAATCTTATGTCACAGAGATCTTTATTCATATGTGTTACTGCTGACCTTCTCCCTATGATGATCCTATTATCCTGCCACTTCCCTTTTTCTAAGATGGTAAAGATAATGATCAATAAATACTGAGGGAACTCAGAGACAGGTGCCGGGGTGGGTCCTGTGTATGCTGAGCGCCGGTCCCCTGGGCCCACTTTTTCTTTCTTTATACTTTGTCTCTGTGTCTCATTTCTTTTCTCAAGTCTTTCGTTCCACCTACCGAGAAACACCCACAGGTGTGGAGGGGCAGGCCACCCCTTCAGGCAGGGCTGGGGGCTTTGAGGTCCAGGTGTGGCTGTGTGAAAGCACCCTGGCTGGTGTGCATGCCTGCCCAGTCCTCCGTGTATCCTAACACCTGCCCTCCGTGCCTCTGCGCCCACAGGCCATGTCGAAGGACACCGTGAATCTGGTGCAGGTGCAGGAGCTGACGTTGCAGCCGGAGCAACAGTCCAAGCTCAAAGTGAGTGGAGCCGGTGTGTGTGGGGAGGCCGGGGTGCACATGGGGTTCGGGCGTGGAGGTTGGTGGGCTACTGCCCGTGGGTAGGGTGAGGGGCGTGTACATGGGCAGCAGTGGGGCCCAGGGCAGGGCTTGGATGCCTCATTCCAAGGGGAGGTGAGAGACGCTGCTGCAGTGCCACCCGAGAGGGAGGACCAGTGTTGGTGAGGGTGTCTGGTCGTCTGGAGGGCCTGGATCTTCTTGACATTCTCACCTCATTTCTTTGAGCTCAGCAGGATTTTTTTAATTTTATTTATTTTGAAACGGAGTCTCGTTCTGTCACCCAGGCTGGAGTGATGTAGTGTGATCTCAGCTCACTGCAACCTCCGCCTCCCGGGTTCAAGCGATTCTCCTGCCTCAGCCTCCCGAGTAGCTGGAATTACAGGCACCTGCCACCATACTCAGCTGCTTTTTTGTATTTTTAGTACAGATGGGGTTTCGACATGTTGGCCAGGCTAGTCTTGAACTCCTGACTCAAGTGATCCACCTGCCTCGGTCTCCCAAAATGCTGGGATTACAGGTGTGAGCTACCGCGCCCGGCCCGTCGCCCTCAGTCCCGAGCTCACAGGCGGGGCTCACACGTTGTCTGTTGTGGCCATTGTAGCTTCAACGTTTAATTGGCAGAAGACAGAGGCTTCCTTCAGCACAGCGTGAATCAGGGCGGTGGTGTTGGGAGGTCGGCCGCGCAGTGGCCCTTCTCAGGGAAGCCGCAGTGGGGGCTGTTTCTGCCGCTGGGGAGTTTGGGTTCTGAAAGCAGCCCCTCAGCGACTGCCGTCCCGGCCGATGTCACCTGTGTCTGTGTGTCAGGCTGTGGCAAATGCAGGGCCCCAGGTGCCCGAGACGCTTGGAGCCCTCCCGTCCTGGGGCAGACACAATCTCTGGATTGGTGCTGAGCATTTTTCTGGTTTTAAAGGCTTTTCTCTTTTTCTGTGGCTTCTCAGCAACTTGTCAATGAGGAGAACGTACGGAAGCAGGAGGAGTCCGTGCAGAAACACCATCAGACCTTCTTGGCGTCCATCAGGTGAGCGCTGCCCAGGCCAGCCGCAGACGGGGCCCCGCAGGTGAGAGTCGCTGGTCCTAGGCGCTCTCCAGCTCTCCCAGGCCTGGCCGCTGTAGGCTGGCGCCTTGGTGGGGGCACTGCCCCTCTGTCCTGGCAGGATCGGGCCGCTGTGTCGGGGCCTCACCCTCAACCTGCTCTTGCTGCGTGGCTCGGATCTTCGTGTCCGTCCTGGTCACACCGCTGCTTTCCCCGCAGGACGTCTGTCACCGTGTTTGGGGAAAGATTCCGGGCCTTTGTGACAGAGCGGGACGCAGTGACAGCCACGGTAAACACGCGTGTCCCGGGCAGGGCTGGCAGGTGGCTGTGGGGCAGCTTGTGGGGGCCTCCTGGAACCCCGGATCCTGTCCCTGCTGGCTCTGCACAGGCCCTGGTGCTCTCCCAGCGCGGAACAAGCCCAAATTGGACCTGCTGGTGGGGGCTGCTCCTCGAGCTGGGAGAAGAAAACACAGTTGCCAGCCTGGGCCACACAGTGAGACCCCATCTCTACACATGACACGTGCATGTCATCCCCGCTTCTCAGGACGCAGAGGCAGGAGAATCACTTGAACCCAGGAGGCGGAGGTTGTAGTGAGCCGAGATCCTGCCACTGCACTCCAGCCTTGGGACAGAGCGAGGCTCCTTCTCAAAAAAAGAAAAAAAAAAAAAAAAGAAAACAGAAGGTGACCCTGACTCCATTTTGCAAAAACCTTTATTCCTCAGAAAACCCTGAGAGTTTGAAGTTCACAGATTCCTCTCTCGTTTACAGCTTCACTCTTTTGTGCGCAGGCGCCAGCCTAGTGTGGTGGCACACCACGTCGCACACGGCTGCGTCCTCCTTCCCCCGCTGCCCAGCACACAGTAGGTGCCTGGCACGCAGTGGGCACTTGCTCCGCCGTGGTGCCGGCGCCCTGAGCTGTGACTGCAGTGCCTGCCTGTGGCGTCGCCAGTGTGACGGTGAATGTCGCAGGTGGTGTTGCCGCCCGTGTTGGTGAGACGGTGTCACGTGAGGACACGAGGGAGCTACTTAATGCACCGTTGACTTCTGTTTGTATTTAGAGACAGTGTCTCACTGTGTCCCCAGGCTGGAGTGCGGTGGCACCATCTCAGCTCACTGCAAGCTCCGCCTCCAGGGTTCACGCCATCCTCCTGCCTCAGCCTCTCCTGTTGCCAGGATTAGGTGCAGCTCGCCGTGCCCGGTAATTTTTCTGTTTTGGTGAAGATGGGTTTTCACCCTGTTGGCCAGGCTGGTCACGAACTCCTGACCTCAGTTGATCTGCCCATCTTGGTCTCCCAAAATGCTGGGATTACAGGAATGGGCCACCGGGTCTGGCATAAACGATTTTTCTTTCTTTTTTTTTTTTTTTATTTGGGATGGAGTTTGGCTCTTCTGGCGCAGGCTTGAGTGCGATGACGCGGTCTGAGCTCACTGCAACCTCTGCCTCTCGGGTTCAAGCAATTCTCCTGCCTCAGCCTCCCAAGTAGCTGAGATTACAGTCATGTGCCATCATGCCCAGCTAACTTTTTGTATTTTTAGTAGAAATGGGGTTTCTCCATGTGGGTTAGGCTGGTCTCCAACTCCCAACCTCAGGTAATCCGGCTGCCTCGACCTCCCAAAGTGCTGGGATTGCAGGCCTGAGCTACCATGCCCAGCCGGCGTAACTGATTTTTGAAACAAGTTAGCGATTTCGGGTTAGCCTTGTTTTCCAGGAATAAAGTACCATTTTAGTGGCCAAGAAAGCAACAGAGGGTGTGGCCCTGTGACATAGCCAGCTGGGTCTCCCCAGGGCCCTGCTCAGCGACTGGGACTTTGCAGGATTTTTATGCTGCCAGTTGCAGAGAAAATGGCCCTGAGTGAGGGCTCTGTGACGGCCCCGCCTGCCTCCTGTAACCGCGGGGCTGTGGGATTCGGGGCCGGGAATTCGGGTTCCTGTGCTTCTCCCTGGGGCGGAGAGAGGGTGGGGCAGCCCCGTGCATCTCCCGCTCTAGGAGGGAGGGAGGGTGGGGCAGGCACACCAGTGCGGTGTCTCCGCTGCAGGTGGTTGGGCTGACGCTGCTGGCTGGCGGGGTCTACTCTGCCAAGAATGGGAGAGCCGCCGGGGCCCGCTTCATCGAGGCTGGGCTTTTCAAGCCATCCCTGGTGAGCGAGAAGTCCCGCATCACGGTGCTGGAGGCGCTGCAGCACCCCTTCCAGGTAGCGGCGTGGGCCTGGTCCTCCCTGAGTGCGGTTCCTGGCTGAGTCCCCTCTGCTCCATGAGGAGAACTCGCCCGTGCACACCCTCCTGTCCCTTCCCCTTCCCCGCACGAGGGGCACCGGGACGCGGCTTCATGCCTGGGTTTTCGCTGTAGCTTAGGGGTCTGCATCAGTGAGACCCTTCCCCCATCTGCCTCGGTCTCCCCTGCTCGGGGCTCTTGATGGGGCCTGGGAGCACATCGGGGTCCTTGCAAGTCCCGGGACTTGAGTGTGCTGGTGTGTGTCGGGGAAGCTGCTACGGGCCATGGAGTCTGGCGGCCTCCCTGGGGAACCGCGCCGCTGGCCAGCCCCCGAGGTGCCTGCCACCCTCTCCACACGGGGGTGGTGGGGTCTCCACAGGTCACTCGGTGGGTAATGAAATAAAAGCCAATAAGGAACTGGAAAATGCCCCCAGTCCCTGCAACAGTCACCCAGTCTCCCAGTGGGATGGGGTTCCAGCTCCTGGCCAGTCCTGGCTGTGCTTTGGGGCAGCTCCGTTTCGGTGTGTTACCGAGCGTGTCTGTGCGTTGGTGGCTGTGCCGTGGCTGTGGCAGGTGACCCAATGGCGCTTCCCCTTCCCCTCCGGCAGGTCAGCCGGCGGCTCCTCAGTCGGCCCCAGGACGTGCTGGAGGGTGTTGTGCTGCATGTAAGTCCGTGTGCCTGGGACCGGGGAGGTGCAGGGAGGGGTCCCGGGAGCTGGGCCGTGCTGTGGCCCTTGCTGGCACTCGAGGAGTCACCCAGGAGCTTTCGGCTTCTGAGATGCGACTGCTTTGCCCCTGTCGGGGATAGGCTGTCCGTGACCTGGGCGGCACCCCGAGGAGTGGAGTCCACAACAGGGCATTGCCGCAGCCCCTGCCCCTGAGGCTTCCCTGGGCGCAGAGTGTGTCCCCCAAGCCCCCGTCTTCCCCGGCAGCCCAGTCTGGAAGCGCAGGTGCGCAACATGGCCATAGCAACAAGGAACACGCAGAAGAACCACGGCCTGTATAGGAATGTCCTGATGTACGGGCCGCCAGGCACCGGGAAGACGCTAGTTGCCAAGGTGAGAGCACCTGGCTGCGCAGGTGTTCCAGGGGCCGATGGGGTCTCACCCACCTGCAGGTGTCTGGGGGGCTCAGTCACCTGGGGAATGGACTCCCCTTAGGCCTTTGCCCGCCCTCATGTAGGGTCAGCGTGCTGGTGTGGGTAAGAGCGCCTCCCATCTTCCAGGCAGGGGACGTCTCCTGTTTGGCAGGCTGTGGCTTCTAGGCTGTGGCTTCTAGGCTGTGGCTTCCAGGCTGTGGCTTCCAGGCAGGGAGGCCCGGCAGGGGCTCCACGCTCCAGGTGGAGTGTGCACACTTTGCCGAGGTGGAGGGAACATCTGTTCTGTCTCCCCTCACTCTTCCCGTCTAGAATCTCGCCCTAAACTTGGGCATGGACTATGCCATCATGACAGGCGAGGACCTGGCCCTCAGGGGGCGGGAAGGCGTGACCGCCATGCACGAGCTGTTTGACTGGGCCAATACCAGCCGGCGCGGGTGAGACGTCCCCACAGCATGCACACAGGCCCTTCTCTGCGGCCCAGCAGGCTGCCTTCGGGGAAGGGGGTCCAGGTGGCTTTCCGGGACCTCGTGGTCTTTCTGCAGCTCTGTCCTTGTGGCCACGCAGGAGGCCCGGCGGAGGGTCCCTCGGAGGGAAGGTCCCCTGAGTGTGGACCCTGGTGGCCACGAGGCCCCCAGCGTGCGGAGGCTGCCAGTGGGATACTTGGCTCAGGACAGAAGGGAGGTGGGTGGGTGTAAGGGCAGAGGGGTCTTCACAGCTGCAGGGGCGCCACCTCCACGGCCGCCCTCCCTCTGACACACGTGCAGGTGGGCGTGGACACCGGCTCCTTTTGGTAGAACCATTTGGAAGTTAGCTGAAGACAGCATGGCGCACAATAGGGTGTGTGCCTATTAAAGTCACACACCGTTTAATAGATTAATAGCTGGGACACCCTTGCGACTTCAGCTCTCCCCATTGGCACCACATTCCTCATGGCTGGCACCCTCCCCTCTGGCCTTTGACCTTTCACTTTAGAAGATCCTGCCCCTGGTGTGGACACTGAGCGGCCGCCAGCACTGCACTGGGCCGGGTGGGGGTGAAGCCTACGGGGCAGAGTCTGGCGCCCCTCTGTGCCGTTGGCTTCCCGAGGCCTTGTGACACTGGGCCGTGGTCAGCTGCCCAGAGGCCAGGCTGATGGGCTTCTGTCAGACCCAGGACTTAGGGCTCTTGGTGGGGCAGAGGCTATACCCCTTGGGGATCTGCCCGCTCGGCCTGATCCCGCCACAGCCGGACACTGCTGTGGGCCGCTCCGGGTGTCACTCTCGCTGTGCTTGGCCTCCCTCTCCTTCACAGCTTCCTGCTCTTCATGGACGACGCGGAGGCCTTCCTTCGGAAGCCAGCCACTGTGAGTGTCACTAAGCCTCTGTCTGACCCCGGGGGTGGTGGGGCGGGTGTGTCCGTCATCCTGGACCAGGCCGCAGCCCACGGCTCAATTCCTTTTTCTCTAAGTTTTGAGTTCAAACCAGCATTTTTTTTTTTTTTTTTTTTTTGGTCAGCTTAAAGTTAAGGTTTGGCTTTTGAGGGTTGTTTTGTTTTGTTTCGAGATGTTGTCTCCAGTCTCTTGTCGGAGTGAAGTTCAGTGGCACGATCTCAGCTCACTGCAACCTCTAGTTGAAGCTATTCTCCTGCTTCATCCTCCCAAGTAGCTGGGATTATAGGCACCTGCCACCATACCCGGCTAATTTTTGTATTTTTACTAGAGATGGGGTTTCACCATGTTGGCCATGATGGTCTAGATCTCTTGACCTCGTGATGCACCTGCCTCAGCCTCCCAAAGTGCTGGTATTACTGCACCGGTCTATTTTTATTTTTATTTGTTTGAGATAAAGTCACACTCTATCCCTTTAGCTGGCCTGCAGTGGCGCGGTCTTGGCTCACTACAACCTCCACCTCCTGGGTTCAAGCTAGTCTCCTGCCTCAGCCCTCTGAGTAGCTGGGATTACAGGCATTTTTTGTATTTTTAGTGCAGATGGGGTTTCACCATTTTGGTCAGGCTGGTGGAGGACTCCTGACCTCAAATGACCTCCCCGCCTGGCCTCCCGAAATGCTGGGATTACATGCGTGATCCACCATGCCCAGCCATACAGTTCTTATGTTAAGGCAGGGTCTCTGTCGCCCAGGCTGGAGTGCAGTGGCGCGATCACAGCTCACTGTTTGCCTCGACCTTTCAAGCTCAAGCCGTCCTCCTGCCTCAGCCGCCCGCGCAGCCAGGACTGCAGGGGCACAGTGCCATGCCCGGCTAATTTTTTTTTTTTTTTTTTTTTTTTTTTTTTTTTTTTTGAGACGGAGTCTCACGCTGTTGCCCAGGCTGGAGTGCAGTGGCGCGATCTCGGCTCACTGCAAGCTCCGCCTCCTGGGTTCACGCCATTCTCCTGCCTCAGCCTCCTGAGTAGCTAGGACTACAGGCGCCCGCCACCGCGCCCGGCTAATTTTTTGTATTTTTAGTAGAGACGGAGTTTCACTGTGGTCTCGATCTCCTGACCTTGTGATCCGCCCGCCTCGGCCTCCCAAAGTGCTGGGATTATAGGCTTGAGCCACCGCGCCCGGCCTAATTTTTTTTTTTGTGATGGCGTTTTGCTCTTGTTGCCCAGGCTGGAGTGCGGTGGCACAATCTTGGCTCACTGCAACCTCCTCCCCCTGGGTTCAAGCAATTCTCCTGCCTCAGCCTCCCAAGTAGCTGGGATTACAGTCATGTACCACCACGCCCGGTTCATTTTGTATTTTTTTTTAGTAGACAAGGGATTTCTCCATGTCAGTCAGGCTAGTCCTAAACTCCTGACCTCAGGTGACCCGCCCACCTCAGCCTCCCAAACTGCTGGGATTACAGGCGTGAGCCACTGTGCCTGGTCCTGGCTAATATTTTTTTTTTTTTTGAGACGGAGCCTCGCTCTGTCACCCAGACTAAAGTACAGCGGCGCAATCTCAGCTCACTGCAAGCTCCGCCTCCCGGGTTCATGGCATTCTCCTGCCTCAGCCTCCCAAGTAGCTGGGACTACAGGCTCCTGTCACCTCGCCCGGCTAATTTTTTGTATTTTTGTAGAGACGGGGTTTCACAGTGTTAGCCAGGATGGCCTCGATCTCCTGACCTCGTGATCCGGCCACCCCAGCCTCCCAAAGTGCTGGGATTATAGGCGTGAGCCACCGCGCCCAGCTGTTTTTTTGTAATGTTAGTAGACATGGACTTTCCCCTTGTTACCCAGGCTGGGCTCAAACTTCTGAGGTATAAGAGATGCTCCCGCCTTGACCTTGTGAAGTTCTGGGATTACAGACGTGAGCCCCCATGCCCAGTCAGGGGTTTGTTTGTTTTTGTTTTTGTTTTTGTTTTTGAGACAGAGTCTCACTCTGTTGCCCATGCTGGAGTGCAGCCGTGCAATTTTGGCTCGCTGCAACCTCTGCCTCCCGGGTTGAAGTGATTCTCCTGCTTCAGCCTCCCACGTAGCTGAGACCACAGGTGTGCCACCGCGCCTGGCTGATTTTTGTATTTTTAGTGGAGACAGGGTCTCACCATATTGGCCAGGATGGCCTCAAACTCCCTACCTCAGGTGATCTGCCCGCCTCGGCCTCCCAAAATACTACGTTACATGCATGAGCCACCGTCCCTGGCCCTGGTCAGGCTTTTGAGTTTAGATCCATGAAAGTGTGGCCGCGTCCCTGCTCCCTGCAGGAGGGAGGCCTGTGGGAGCTTCTGCTGTGGCTGTTTACAAGGCTTTGCTCCTGGTGCCTAAGGCTGGAACCTTCTCTCTGCAGGAGGAGATGAGCAATTACTACCTCAGAGTCGCCCAGAACGCCTTCCTAAACCACACGAGGCAACGCAGCAACAAGTGAGGGGGCCCCTCGGGTCCTGGGCCCCCGGGTAGGGCTGTGCAGCCGTCGCCCTTGGTTCCCACCGAGGGACCTCAGAGGCCCTGGATCACAGTGCTGGGCAGCACCCGTGGCCTCAACGTGTCCACCTCGGATGTCCCCTAGGAACGTCCCAGCTCGGGACAGCATGGGGCATCACTGAGGAACATGCGGGGGCCTCCTGGGCAGAGCCGGGGTCAGTCCCGTCCTCACGGCCCTGTGCGATGCCGCCCCAGCTTGCACGTCCCTCTGCCCCTGGGTTTCCGCGGTCCTGTGCCGGCAAGGGAGGCGGTCTGATTGTCTGAGGCTCTGCTGGGGCCTCCATTGGAGGCTGTGGGTGCCCTGGGGTGGGAGATGGAGACACGTTTGCTCCCACGGGAAGCTGGGCACGAGCAGGTCCTGTGTGTTTGGGCGGAGCCTGGGGCCTTGGCCCCCCGCCCAGATGCTGGACAGGGTTGCTCCCTCCAGGCCTGGGGCCCTCCTCACATTGCGCGTCCTCCGTGAGCTGCTACCCAGAGGTCCCCAGTAGGTGGATAGCCCCATGGCCAGGCTCCCTAGCCCCTTTCAAATCCCCTTATTTTGAGTTTTCTTGGTCTCCTGGGCCCCTCCAGCCCCAGTCACGTGTCACACGGAGAATCAAGTCCTGCCGGTCGGCCGTGGCCGAGTCTTCAGGCGTGTTGGGCTCGCTGGCTCAGCTGCTGCCGGTAACGCTCCCTGGAGCCCTGGCTCAGGTCCTTCCCCAGAGAGGCAGGGCCGGGGCCCTGGTGAGCCTCGCTGCACCCGGGCCCCCAAGGTCCTGCTCCTGGCTCGTGTGGCCACTCTTGACATGGACTCTGGGTCCCGCATCCCTGCTCCCAGCACAGCAGGCTCAGGCAGCAGGAGGAGTGGTGGTCCGACCTGCCTATCACGCTGGGTGAGGGTCAGCGGGGAAGCGCCACACGGGATGAGAACAGAGGCCCAGGTAGCCGGGCGGGGGGACAGCTGGGCGTGGTGGGGGCGGGACAGGGCAGTGGCTTGGGCGCGTGACCAAGGCTGTGCCCGTCCTCCCGTGTTTCCGGTGCTCACAAGCTGTCGCTTTAAATTCTCCGGGAAAGTCCCCCTGAGGGGACTAGGAGCCCCGTTTCCCTCGGGACAGCTCCCGGCAGCCCCAGCATTTCCTTCCATCCCCACTCCGCAGATTCATGCTGGTCCTGGCCAGCCGCGACCCCAAGCAGTTACACCGGACATCCACGACCGCATCGACGTGATGTTTTACTTCGACCGCCCGGGCAGAGGAGCGGGAGCGCCTGCTGAGAATGTATCTTGACAAGTATGTTCTTATGCCGGCCACAGAAGGAAGCAGTAAGTGTCCCCCTCACCCACCCCTGTCCAGGGACCCTCGCTCTGGGCCCACCCCCGCCCTGCTCTCCGGACGCACCAGCAGCCCGTCTCCGGGCTGGCACCGCCTCCCTGCTTGCGGTTTCGCACAGGAGCCCTGTGGGCCCCAAGGGTCCCAGAGGCTGCACCCAGGGATGTGCCCACCACCCTTTCCTCATCCCCACCTGAGAACAGCCTGGTGGTGTCTCCTCGGGTTTGGGGGGCAGAGCCCACCATCACTTACAAACCTTCAACTTTTTGTTTTTTGAGACAAGTCTTGCTCTGTCCCCCAGGCTGGAGTGCAGTGGCCGATCTCAGCTGACTGCAACCTCCGCCTCCTGGGTTCATGCGATTCTCCTGCCTCAGCCTCCTGAGTAGCTGCGATTATAGGTGCCTGCCACCACGCCCCACTGCTTTTCGCCTTTTTGTAGAGATGCAGTTTCACCATGTTGGCCAGGTGGTCTCGAAACCCTGACCTCGGGTGATCTGCCCGCCTTGGCCTCCCACAGTGCAGGGATTACAGATGCCAGCCACTGTGCCCGACCACCCTCAGGCCCTGGCAGTGAGGGAGGTGACGTGGAGTGTTGCTCTGAGACCCCCATGTTGGGATTTAGGGAGACGCTCCTCATGAGAGCCCCGTGTTGGGACTGGAGAGGATCCTCAGGTCCCCTGCTGGCTGCTGGCCTGGCCTTCCTCCAGCTGCCACGCCCTGGCCCTGGAGCCTCATGGTGTGGGGCGCGGCTCCGGCTGCACTTGTCCCTGAGGCCTTCAGGCTCCCTGTCGCTGGCGGTGGGTGCAGCAGGCACGGCGGGCAGAGCCCTCCAGGTGATGACAGGCCCTGGGGCTGCACGCCGGCTGCCTCAGGAACACTCCAGATGAGCAGTGGCTGCTCCACCTCTTGGCGTCCCCAGGTCCCGGTTTCTGAGTCCTTCTGTCCACCTGACCTAAATTCCTGCTCTCTCCAGTGACAGCAAAAGCCGCTCTGTTCCAGAGAGAGCCTGGTTCCCCCTGCCAACCGCTCGTGGCTGCCTGCTTCATGCTAGCCCAGCTGTCCCGGCCTCAGTTTCCCTTTGGCCCTCCCCTGCCCTGGGCTCTCCCACTCCCACGGCTGCTCATAGACCTGGCACAGTGACTTGGCTTCTATGATCTCCAGGGAGATGCTTTTGCTGGAATTCAGGGCTCTGCCACTGCCACTGTAACGGCCATGAGCCCTGTGGGTGCTGAGTGGGCAGGGTGGGGCAGGGCTGGTGTGAAGAGGGGGTGCGGCCATCTCCAGGCCCCACAGCAGCCGCCTCCCTGCTCAGCCCAGACCTGGTTTGCATCAGGGAGAGGGCGGAGTTTGGCTGTCACAGGAAGAGTCCCTCCCAAGGGGACATCTGGCATGGGTGCCCGCCTGGCTGCCTGTCTTCCGGCCCCGACCTCATGGTGTGGGAGCCGCTGCCTTGGCCGGCCCACTTGGGAACTCCTTCCCCAGGCGCCTGAAGCTGGCCCAGTTTGACTATGGGAGGAAGTGCGAGGAGATCGCTGAGCTGACGAAGGGCATGTCGGCCCGGGAGATCGCACAGCTGGCTCAGTCCTGGCAGGTGAGTGGGGCTCGGGCGCACCCACCCAGACAGGAGCCCAACTCCTGTGGAGACGGCCGGTTGTGCCTGTCCCAGCACCAGTGTCACACAGCAGCTCCTGTTGAGGGGTTTTCAGTGCACAGACGTGACACGGGGCACCCGCCCCAGTCGGCCACTCCACACACTGGCGCGCCCCTGCTCCTGCCCTGGGAAGTGTGGGGCATGTCCGTGGCTGACGGTCATAGGTCAGGAAGCCCGTCCGGCATCCTAGTATCCGGGCTCTGCCAGGTGGGCCGGGAGGCTTTCGATGCTCACCTTGGCAGACGGGCACCCCCTGGTGTGAATGGTCATGGGACAGGCCCCGCCTGAGTTTGGTGGTGGGGCTGGAGGGATGTTGTGTTTCCCGGACCACGTCCGTTGGCTTGATCCCGCTTGACGGGCTCAGACACATGGGCAGGAGTGACCTCTGATTGTCCCACAGCCGGCTGCTCCTTGGAGGACCCCCTCCTGCAGCTCCGTGGCTGCTGCAGGGACGGGGAGCCGGGACTCAGAGCAGTGTGGGCGTGGCCATCCAGAAAGCTTTGGTCTTTGGGGGTTGCTGGAAAAGCATAACCAGGTCTGTAGAAGGCACCAAGGCCATGCACAGGCATTGCTGCCTCTGGGGTCTGCAGAGTCTGTGACAACCTGGTCACTCAACCTAGCAGCGCTTTCGCGTGTGACAGGTTCATGAAGTAGCCAGTTACCTTGATTTGACGTTGGAGCTGGGGACTATATGGGCTGTATTAGTCAGTTATGCCGCTGTGACAAAGAGCCTCAGATCTCAAACCCCATCCTTGTGGGTCAGCTGAGGTCTGTGTTCCAGGCCGTCTCCACTTGAGACCAGGTCTGTTTCCACAACTAAGCAAACAGAGACCGGGCATGGTGTTGGCTGACATTTGTGTTCCCAGCATTTGGGGAGGTCAAGTCAGCCAGATTATTTGAAGCCAGGAGTCAGGACCAGCCTGGAAAGCAAGGGGAGACTCCATCTCTACAAAAAATAAAAAAATTAGCCGGACCTAATGGTGCACGCCTGTAATGCCAGCTCCTTGGGAGGCTGAGGTGGGAGAATCACTTGAGTCCAGGAGGCAGAGAATACAGTGAGCTGTGATTGTGCCACTGCACTCCAGCCCGGGTTACAGAGCGAGACCCTGTCTTAAAAATAAGAATAATTTGAGCCGGGCATGGTGGCTCACGCCTGTAATCCCAGCACGCTGGGAGGCCAAGGGGAGAGGATCACTTGAGGCCAGGAGTTCGAGACCAGCCTGGCCAACATGTCGAGCCCCACCTCTACTAAAAATACAAGAATTGGCCGGGCGCAGTGGTGGTGCATGCCTGTATTCTCAGCTACTCAGGAGGCTGAGGCAGGAGAATCGCTTGAACCCGGGAGGTGGAGGTTGCAGTGAGCTGAGATGGTGCCATTGAATTCCAGCCTGGACTATTCAGGATCCTTTGAGATTCCATAAGAATTTTAGGAGTGGTTTTCCTATTTTTGTAAAACATAATTTGGGTTTTCACAGGGACCGCGTTTAGTCTCTATGTCGCTTTGATGTCTCTCAGCAATATTCTGTGGTTTTCTCTTGTTTTCGAGACGGAGTCTCGCTCTGCTGCCCAGGCTGGAGTGCAGTGTTGTGATCTCAGCTCACTGCAACGTTCCCCTCCCGGGTTAAAGTGATTCTCCTGACTCAGCCTCCTGAGGAGCTGGAATTCCAGGCAGGCGCCACCATGCCCGGCTAATTTTTGTACTAAGAGACGGGGTTTTGCCATGTTGGCCAGGCTGGTCTCGAACCTCTGACCTCAGGCAATCCACCCACCTCAGCCTCCTAAAGTGCTGAGATTAAAGGCACGTGCCACCACGCCCGGCTAATTTTTGTATTTTTAGTAGAGACGATGATTCACCATGCCGGCGAGGTTGGTCTTGAACTCCTGACATGAGGTAATCCATCTGCCTCTGCCTCCCAAAGGGCTGGGATTCAGACATGGGCCACTGCGCCCAGCCAGTTTTCACTGTACAAGTCTTTCACCCTCTTGGTTAAGTGAATTTCCAAGCATTTTATTCTTGCCGCTGCTGTTGTAAATGGAAACGGTTTCATAATTCCCCATTCACATTATTCACTGTTGGGATGGAGAACTGCAGCTTTCTTTGCTGTTGATTTTGTATCCTGTAAGTTTGCTGATGTCACGGCATTTTTTCTTCCAATATGGATTCTAGGATTTTCTACATATAAGATTATGTCATCTGAGAACAGGTGATTTTACCTTTCCCTTTTCAGTTTGGATGACTTTTCTTTTTCTTGTCTAATTGCACTGTCCAGAGCTTCCAGTGGTGTGTGGAATAGAAGCGGTAAAGCATTCTTGCCTGGTTCCTTACCTCAGAGGAAAAGCTTTGTTTTTCACCACTGAGTATGTCACCTATGGGCTTGTGATGTGTGGCCTTCATTGTGTTTAGGGTGTATCCTTCAATTCTTGGTTTGGTGAGTGTTTTTATCATAAAAGTGTGAGGTGGGTGGATCACCTGAGGTCGGCAGTTCGAGGCCAGCCTGACCAACGTGAAGAAACCCCATCTCTCCTACAAATACAAACTTAGTTGGGCATGGTGGTGCATGCCCGTAATCCCAGCTACTCGGGAAGGTGAGACAGGAGAATCGCATGAAGGCAGCAGGCAGAGGTTCCAGTGAGCCGAGATCGCGCCATTTGCACTCCAGCCTGGGCAAGAAGAGCAAAATTGTCTCCAAAAAAAAGTGGCCAGGCACGGTGACTCACGCCTGTAATCCCAGCACTTTGGGAGGCCAAGGTGGGTGGATCACGAGGTCAGGAGATCGATACCATCCTGGCTAACACAGTGAAACCCTGTTTCTACTATAAATATAAAACATCAGCTGGGCATGGTGGCAGGTGCCTGTAGTCCAGCTACCTGGGAGGCTGGGGCAAAAGAATGGCGTGAACCCAGGAAGCGGAGCATGCAGTGAGCTGAGATGCCTGGGCTACAGAGTGAGGCCCCAACTCAAAAAAAAAAAAAGGTGTTGTATTTGGTCGAATACTTTTTCTGCAACACTTGAGACAGTCGTGTGGTTTCCTTCCTCCACCCTGCTAATATCGATTGATTTTTGTATGTTGAACATTTCATATGCGGAACATTGATTTTCATATGTTGAACTATCGTTGCATTCCAGGAATAATCCTGCTTGGTCGGCTGGGCGCGGTGGCTCAAGCCTGTAATCCCAGCACTTTGGGAGGCCGAGATGGGCGGATCACAAGGTCAGGAGATCGAGACCATCCTGTCTAACCTGGTGAAACCCCGTCTCTACTAAAAAATACAAAAAACTAGCCGGGCGAGGTGGCGGGCGCCTGTAGTCCCAGCTACTCAGGAGGCTGAGGCAGGAGAATGGCGTGAACCCGAAAGGCGGAGCTTGCAGTGAGCTGAGATGCGGCCACTGCACTCCAGCCTGGGTGACAGATCGAGACTCCGTCTCAAAAAAAAAAAAAAAAAAAAAAAAAATCCTGCTTGGTCAGGGTATAGAGTCCTTTTAGTGTACTGCTGAATTCGTTCTGCTGGCATTTTGTTGAGGACTTTCCCAGTGATGCTCATCAGGGATATTGGCCTGTCATTTTTCTTGTGGTGTCTTTGTCTGGGTTTGATATCAGGGTAATGCTGGCCTCCTAGGATGAGTGAGGAAATGTTCTTCAATTTGTCCAAGAGTTTGAGGTGTGCTGCTGATTCTTCTTAATGTTTTGTGAATTGACACGTGAAGACATCAGGTCCAGGTCTTGTGTTTCAACTTTTACAGCTTGAAGACTTTAGGTTCCCAGAAAAATTGCAAAGGTAGCACAGAGAGCTCCCGGGCCCGGGGCCTTGCCACGTAGTGAACGTCATGTGTCACTGTTGGCCCCACCTGGGACTGGGTCTTGCCCAAAATCCCACCCAGGACGCCACGTGACATTTAGCTGCCACTTCTGGTGGGCTCTGCCAGGTCCCGTGCTTCCTGGTGGCGTGGCCCCATGAGCATCTGCTCATCCCCTTTCCTCCACTGGGCCCTGGGTGAGGTGCAGCCACTCGGGTGCACCCTGAGGGTTCCTGCACCTGTTTGAACTCTCTTGGGTCGGCTCAAGACCAAAAATGATGCTGAGCAGTCCTGGGCCTCTGATGCATAGTGGTGGTCCGGTTCCGGTCAGCGTCTCCTGCACTCCTGGGCCCCTGAGCCACAGTGGCGGTCCAGCTCCAGTCAGTGTCTCCCCACACAGTGGCTCTTGGCAAGGGGTGGGCGCTGTCAGTGGGGACGGGCACCACGTGGTCATCCCCATGGCAGGTCCCATCGTGGCAGCCGTGTTGTGGGAGGATGGTGCGCTGCTGCCCCTTTACCCTGTGAGATGAATCCTGCCTCTGGGAGGCACAGCCGGGATTGGGTGAGGGACCCCCTCAGCTGTCCGGGAAGCGTCCCCTGCCCTGTGCTTCCTCCAGGCATCCTGGTGCACTCCCAAGCACGGTGCCCAGTGGGGGTGCCCAAACCTTCACCCTGACCCATGGGTGACTTCCCTTGGGGACTCCACGCCTTTCACTGGGACTGGGATGGAGAGCGACCTGTCCATGGCAGAAGGGCTGCACCTGAGGTGCTTGAAGCAACACCAAGGGCCACAGTCCCAGCAGCTCCAGCCTCCGCATGCTGGATGCCAAGTCCTGTGCCCAGGACAGGGAGGTGGAGGCACGGGTGATCTTGATGCTAGCACCTATGTGCCCCGAGGTTGGGCAGTGGCTGCCTCTGCTGTGGAGGCCTATGAAGGTGAGGGTCTGAGGATCTGTAGTGCACTGTGACCCGGGGGCACTGCCTGGCCACGGCTGAGACACGCAGAGGGTCTGCAATTCCCTCCTGCCTCTTGGGAGCTGCCCTGGGTCTGCAGTCAGTGGGGCTCGTCCTCGGGCTTTCCGTTATTAGAAAGTCACTGAGAAACTGCAGTGCTGAGGACGCAGGCAGGGCTGTGGCACTGCAGGGGCCGCTCCCGGTGTCCACACGCATGCTGGGCTCTGCCGAGGTGCCGGAAGCCTGTGTTTCACCCTGAGGCCGTCCTGGTGCCCCGGGTTTGGACCCTCCCCACCTCGGGGTCCTGGAGTGCGTTACGGGTGGGGGGTTCCCATGGTGGCCTCCCTCAGCTCCCTCTCTCCTCACTAGGACACGGCGTATGCCTCCGAGGATGGGGTCCTCACCGAGGCCATGTTGGATGCCCATGTTGAAGACTTTGTCGAGCAGCACCAGAAGAAAATGCGCTGGCTGAAGAGGGAGGGCCTGTCCTCATGGACCAGCACCCCTTAACCTGAGTCCGCGGTGAGACCACACGTCACGGAGCCTGGCTGCGGACCCCTCCCACCCCTGCTTTTCCGGTCCCTGCACGTTTAGGAAATGCTTCCCCTAATAAACTCCCACAGGTGCCACAGCGCTGTGTCTATTGGCTGATGTGGTGCGGGGTTTGGGGTCCCCTAGTGTCCTTCTGGGGTCAAAGGTGATAGAAAAGACAGGCTGGAGCTTTCTGGAGAATTTAGGCACAGAAGGGTGGGCTTCACATGAGGTGCCTGCCACAGCGGGGTTGGCTGCCTGAATGCCACCCGGGACCGGCTGCTCGCGCTCCATCCTGCAGCTGTGGAGACGGGGGTGCCCCTTTGCCTCTCTCCACGAAGTGCAGGGCAAACAAGACACAGCGGTTTCAAACAGGCGATGGCCCGGACTGCGTGCCTCGCCGCCCCTGCGCCTTCCCCTGCCCCTGCTTTCCAGCTAGTCCCTGAAAACCTTGATGGGGCCGGGCGCGGTGGCCCATGATGGATTCTCAGCACTTTGTGAGGCCAAGGCGGGTGGATCACCTGAGGTTAAGTGTTCCAGCCCAGCCTGGCCAACATGGTGAAACCCCATCTCTCCTAAAAAAAAAAAAAAGAAAAGAAAAAGAAAAATTAGCCGAGTGTCGTGGCAGGTGTCTGAAATCCCAGGCACTCAGGAGGCTGAGGCAGGAGAATCACTTGACCCCGGGAGGTGGAGGTTGCAGTAAGCTGAGACCATGCCATTGCAGTGCAGCCTGGACAACAAGAGTCAAACTGACTCTCAAAAAAAAAAAAAGCCAGGTCAGGTGGCACGTGCCTGTGGTCCCAGCTTGGTCCCAGATTCTTGGTTTGGAGGCTGAGGTACGAGGATCACTTGAGCATGGGAGGCTGAGGTTGCAGTGAGCCAAGATCGCGCCATTGCACTCCAGCCTGGGTGACAGAGTGAGACCCTGTCTCTAAATAATCAAAACCTTGATTACAGCCATGGGGTGGGGGTTGGGGGGCGTCTGGCTACGGCAGGGGAACTCATTGGGTTTTTCTCGTTCTCTCCTAATTTTTGGTAGAGACAGGGTTTCTCTTTGTTGCCCAGGCTGGTCTCCAACTCCTGGGCTCAAGCAATCCTTCTGCCTCGGCCTCCCAAAGTGGTGGGGTTACAGGCGTGAGCCACCGCACCTGACCTGTTTTACTTTTTTTTTTTTTTTTTTTTTTTGAGACGGAGTCAAGCTCTGTCACCCAGGCTGGAGTGCAGTGGCCGGATCTCAGCTCACTGCAAGCTCCGCCTCCCGGGTTCACGCCATTCTCCTGCCTCAGCCTCCCGAGTAGCTGGGACTACAGGCGCCTGCCACCTCGCCCGGCTAAGTTTTTGTATTTTTAGTAGAGACGGGGTTTCACTGTGTTAGCCAGGGTGGTCTCAATCTCCTGACCTTGGGATCCGCCCGTCTCGGCCTCCCAAAGTGCTGGGATTACAGGCTTGAGCCACCGCCCCCGGCCCCTTTTTTTTTTTTTTTTTTGGCAAGGGAGTCTTGCTCGCCCAGGGTGGAGTGCAGTGTTGCAATCTGGGCTCACTGCAACCTCCACGTCCAGGGTGTCAGGCCTCTGAGCCCACGCTAAGCCATCATATTCCCAGTGACCTGCATGTGTACATCTGATGGCCTGAAGCCCCTGAAGATCCGCAGAAGTGAAAACAGTCTTAACTGATGACATTCCAGCCTTGTGATTTGTTCCTGCCCCACCCTACCTGATCAATGTACTTTGTAATGTCCCCCACCCTTAAGAAGGTTCTTTGTAATTCTCCCCACCCTGGAGAATGTACTTTGTGAGATCCACCCCCAGCCCCCAAAATATTGCTCCTAACTCCACTGCCTATCCCAAAACCTCTCAGAACTAACGGTAATCCCAGCACCCTTTGCTGACTCTTTTTGGACTCAGCTGGCCTGCACCCGGGTGAAGTAAACAGCCTTGTGGTTCACACAAAACCTGTTTCGTGGTGTCTTCACACGGACACGCGTGACACAGGGTTCGAGGAAATTTCATGCCTGAACCTCCGGAGTAGCTGGGATTACAGGCGAACGGCACCATGCCCAGGTTAATTTTTGTATTTTCGGCAGAGACAGAGGCCCAGGTAGCCGGGCTGGGGGACAGCTGGGTGTGGTGGGGCCGGCGGTGACCAGGGCTGTGCCGCGTCCTCCCGGTGTTTTCTGTGCCCACCAGCTGCCGCTTTAGATTCTCCGGGATAGTCTCCCTGAGGGGGCTGAGGAGCCTGTGTTCCCCTCGGGGCAGCTTGGCCGGCAGCCCCAACATTTCCTTCCTCATCCCTCCTCCGCAGATTCATGCTGGTCCTGGCCAGCCGCCACCCCGAGCAGTTGGACTGGGGCATCCATGACTGCATCGATGTGACGGTCCACTGCGACCTGCCACGGCAGGAGGGGCGGCAGCGCCAGGTGAGAATGTATTTTGACAAGTATGTTCTTAAGCCGGCCACAGAAGGGAAACAGTAAGTGTCCCGCCTCACCCGCCCCTGTCCAGGGACCCTCGCTCAGGGCCCACCCCGCCCCTGCTCTCCAGACGCACCCAGCAGGCCCAGTCTCCAGGGTGGGCACCACCTCCGTGCCCTGAGGTTTTGTGCGGGAGCCCTGTGGGCCCCGAGGGTCCCAGAGGCCGCATCCAGGAGGTCACGCCCCCTTTTCCTCATCCCCATCTGAGAACAGCCTGGTGGCGTCTCCTCAGGTTTGGGGGCAAAGTCCACCATCACTTAGAAACTTTCAGCATTCCTTTTTTTTTTTTTTCTTAAGACGGACTCTTGCTCTGTCATCCAGGCTGGAGTGCAGTAGCTTGACCTCGGCTCACTGCAAGCTCTGTCTCCCAGGTTCACGCCGTTCTCCTGCCTCAGCCTCCCAAGTAGCTGGGACAACAGGCACCCGACACCACGCCCGGCTAATTTTTTTGTGTTTTTTTAGTAGAGATGGGTTTGACCGTATTAGCCAGGATGGTCTCGATCTCCTGACCTCGTGATCCACCTGCCTCGGCCTCCCAAAGTGGTGGGATTACAGGTGTGAGCCACCGCATCTGACCTTTTTTTGAGGAAGTCTCACTCTTGTCCCCCTGGCTGGAGTGCAGTGCCGGGATCTCAGTTCACTGCAACCTGTGCCTCAGCCTCCTGAGTAGTTGGGATTATAGGTGCCCGCCACCGCGCCTGGCTGGTTTTTGTGTTTTTGTAGAGATGGAATCTAACTCCGTCTCCCAGGCTGGAGTACAGTGGTGTGATCTCAGCTTACTGCAACCTCCACCCTCCGGGTTCAAACCATCCTCTTGCCTGAGCCTCCTGAACAGCTGCGATTACAGGCGCCCAGCACAATGCTCGCCTCATTTTTTTGTCTTTTTAGTAGAAACAGCTTTTCACCAAATTGACCAGACTGGTCTTGGACTTCTGATCTCAAGTGATTCACCCTCCTCGGCCTCCAAAGTGCAGGGATTGCAGATGTGAGCCACCGGACCCGGCCTCTTTTATGTTCCTCTTCAGTACTCAGAGGGCTGTGAGGAAATCCGGTGCCCGGCCACCCCCAGGCCCTGGCAGTGAGAGGAGGTGATGTGGAGTGTTACTCTGAGATTCCCATGTTTGGATTCGAGGGAGACGCTCATCATGAGACCCTCCGTGTCGGGATTAGAGGGAGAGGCTCCTCATGGTCCCCTGCTGGCTGCTGGCCTGGCCTTCCTCCAGCTGCCACGCCCGGCCCTGGAGCCTCCTGGTGTGGGGCGCGGATCCGGCTGCACTTGTGCCTTGAGGCTCTCAGGCTCCCTGTCGCTGGCGGTGGGTGCAGCAGGCACGGCGGGCAGAGCCCTCCAGGTGATGAGAGCCCCCAGGAACACTCCAGATGAGCAGAGGCTGTTCCACCTCTTGGCGTCCCCAGGTCCCCGGTCTGAGTCCTTCTGTGCACCTGACCTAAATTCCTGCTGTCTCCTGTGACAACAAAAGCCACTCTGTTCCAGAGAGAGCCTGGTTCTCCCGTTGACCCCTCCGCTGCCGCCTGCTCCATGCTAGCCCAGCCGTCCAGGCCTCAGTTTCCCTTTGGCTCTCCCCTGCCCCGGTTCCCAGCTGCTTGGGAGGCTGAGGTAGGAGGATCATTTGAGTCCAGGAGCTTGAGGTTGCACTGAGCTGTGACTGTGCCACTGTACTCCAGCCTTGGCAACAGAGTGAGACACTGTCTTAAAAAAGAAGAATTTGGGCCAGATGCTGTGTTTCATGCCTGTTCCCAGCATGCTGGGAGGCTGAGGAGAGAAGATCACTCGAGGCCAGGGGTTCCAGACCAGCCTGCCAACATGTTGAACCCCGCCTCTACGAAAAATACAAAAATTAGCCGGGCGTGGTGGGTGGGTGGGTGCCAGTAATCCCAGCTACTCAGGAGGCTGAGGCAGCAAAATCTCTTGAACCTGGGAGGTGGAGATTGTGGTGAGCTGAGATAGTGCCGCTGTACTTCAACCTGAGCAACAGAGTGAGACTCCTTATCAAAATAAAGAAATCAATCAATCAATAAAAATAATCACAATAATTTGGGCTGGGCGTGGTGGCTCACTCCTGTAATCCCAGCACTTTGGGAGGCGTGGATCGGTTGAGTTCGAGGCAAGCCTGGCCAATGTGGCGAAACCCCATCTCCACTACAAATACAAAAATTAGCCAGGTGTGGTGACAGGCACCTGTAATCCCAGCTGCTCGGGAGGCTGAGACAGGAGAATCTCTGGAACCTAGGAGGCGGAGGTTGCAGTGAGCCAAGATCACGTCAGTGCGCTCCAGCCTGGGTGACAGAGACTGTCTCAAAAAAGAATAATAATAATTTGACTGGGTGTGGCGGCTCACTCTTGTCATCCCACACTTTGGGAGGCCGAGGCAGGAGGATTGCTTCAGCTCAGGATTTCGAGACTGGCCTGGACAACTGGCCTGGACAACATGGTGAAACTCCATCTCTACAAAAAATACAAAAATTAGCCAGGCATGGTATCATGTGCCTGTGATCTCAGCTACTCAGGAAGCAGAGATGGGAGCATTGCTGGAGCCTGGGAGTTGGAGGCTGCAATGAACCATGTTCGTGCCACTGCACTCCAGTGTGGGTGACAGAGTGAGACCCTGTCT